CTTTGTTGGTTCCCTGTTGAGATGGATCCTGTTCTAATCACCAGGAGTAGGAAGTTCATTGCCTCCATCTGACTCCTGCTGAGAGCAGGGAGAGGAGTCAGCTAAAGGGCTCCTACGGGCTGGGAAGGTTGTGGAGGGGGGTACCTGGTTTATGGAGAAAGTGAACTGGGGGCTCACACCACCCTACAGGACTCTGTCTGCAGAGCAAGGAGTTGGACACCCGGGAACATGTGTTGGAATGGGTAAGATCTGTTTATGGGGGTCTTGGCTGGGAGGTCGAGAAAACCTTGCTGTGAATGTGACCCTAATTAAATGGTGCAGAAGAAGCCAAGAACAGGGAGGTCAGTGAGTGTTTACACATACATGTGTATGCATATATGCGCATGCATACACACATGTTGCATGTATGTGCATGTGTGTATAGGCATGCCAGGCAGAGAAAGGCAGGGAATGAGAGGTATGGACGCACTGTGTGACAGAGTGGTTGCTGGCAGCTACCCTAAGAAGATGCGAGTTTCAGTTACGTTGGTTCAGGAGACCATGCACATTCAAAGAAACCTTTCTCGGGGCCTCGGGGCCAGGCACTTGGTGTAAAGGGCGGTTCTGGGAAAGCGGACTTCCACAAGTCCCTTCTTCTCTCGAATCTGTCTCTCTGTGTGCTCGGTCACTAGAGTTAGAGGGGAAGGGGTAACAGTCCTCTTGGTTCTCAGATCACCAATTGGTAGTTGGCTGGGCAGGTAGTAGGTTCCTCCTGGAGAGAGGCTGATGGTAACGTGGTAACCCTGCTTCCTAGGGCTCAATGGCATGGAGCCTCTGTTCTCCAGCTGCTGCCACTGTTGCTTGATAAACCGTCACCCCTGCTCCCTTCTGGGGGGGCCAAGTTTCGGCCGTGCACCTCCAGCCTGCAGCAGTTGACAAACACAGGAGGCAGGTCTCCTGTCAAGGATGAACCCCATGGGAGGCCCTGAGGACCTCCTCTTGTTTGTTTCTGCTGCAAAGAGGGGTTACTCACCTGGCCCAGGGACCGCTGCTGTAGGCTTCAGCCATGCTTTACATCCAGAGTCACAAGAGGAACTCAGAGCATTTTTACGACTTTAGACTTTGGATCCTTTCCTTCCAGGACCCACCCTTGCTTACACTCCCAGCTGTACGGAGTTGCTTGTGGGACTACATTCTTTACAATCCTCTTCCAAACTCGAGCACGTGAAAGTCCTCATCCTCGTCCTTACGTCTCCTTTTGACAGCGGAGACAGCTAATGTTGCAGTGTTGACAGTTCAGACCATTTCGGAACAGAACAGATTGACTGATGGGAAGCGTTTGTCATGTTGATGGAGTCAGCGGTCGAGTGATTTGATTATTAAAATTTTCAAAAGTTTTTATTTGTGTGCTTTGATGTGTGTGTGGGAATACCTTGCCATGGTGTGTGTGCGTGTGTGTGTAGGTCAGAGGACCGCTTTGTAAAATTGTTGTCTTTCTGCCTTTACGTGGGTGCTTAGGGCTGAACTGATGTGACCGGGTTGTGCAGCAACTTTAGCTGCTGAGCTCTCTTGCTGACCCTGAAAGAATATTTCCAATGTTTTGAAAGTCCAAGTGTCTGCACAGTAGAGAAATTAGTATTGTGACTGTTCTTGTGTCCCTCCCAAAGGTAGCTAGGGTCATCCTTAGTTCTTGCTTGACCTTGACCTCTGGTGATAAGCAAGACTCAGCCACACCGTCCTCGACTCTGTGAGCACGTTAGTGTTTATCTTAAAAAGATCTGGGTTTAAAAACTACGGTCGTGGGGCTGGAGAGATGGCTCAGTGGTTAAGAGCATTGCCTGCTCTTCCAAAGGTCCTGAGTTCAATTCCCAGCAACCACATGGTGGCTCACAACCATCTGGAATGAGGTCTGGTGCCCTCTTCTGGCCTGCAGACATACACACAGACAGAATATTGTATACATAATAAAAATAAATAAATATAAAACAAATCCTTGATTACATTAAAAAAATAAAAATAAAAACTACGGTCATGTGACCGCAAGTGACAGGAAGCCCTGAGAGTGAAGTCCAGCTGCCACCAAGCTTGCAGCTTTGTGTGACATCAAAGTCCTGTCTGGATCTTGACCGGGGACGTGGTTAGACAGTGAATGTCCAGGCTGTAGCCGCAGAACTACATAACTCCTCTGCTTTTCCTGTTTGGCTTTGGCCCCGTTTTTAACAATGGAGGTAGCAACACATATTAGAGTGCATGAAGCAATCCAGTTTGGTTGATTCCTGTGCATATGTGTGGTTTATTTGTGTGTTCATCTCTCTGTGCATGTGAGTTTATGGGTGTGTGCAGTGGATGTTCGTGTGTGTGTGTGCAAGCATGCACACATGTATACGTTGAAGCCAGAGGTCAATGTTGGGTTCTTACTTTTCTTTTTGTGTGTGTGTGTGTGTTCAAGAAAGTTTGAGTTTTATTGATGATGCCTCAAAGTGGAATTAACCTAGTTATCCATCAACAGGTAAATCAATTAAAATGATAGAATAAAACAAAATGTTTACAAAAGTATTAAAAGCACTAAATGAAAATGCAAGATGTTACAGATAAATCTATAACATATTTTATTCAGTAAAAGGAGTCAAACACAAAGAAATACGCATACTATATAATTCCATTTGTGCGCAGGTTAAGATCAGGCAAGGCTAGTAGTGTTTAAAGAAATAAATAAGATCCAGCTTTTAAAACATTTCCTCCCTGCCTGGGAGGAGCTGCCTTCATCACAGGAATAAAGCCAGGAGTGAGTTCCCATGCCTCACTCCCTCCGGTTTTTATTTTTTTTTTTAATTTTTTAATTTTTAATTTTTTTTTAACAATGAAACACTTTGTCTTTATTTCCTTTTGTTCTAATAAAAGACACTGACAAAACCTCCTTAAGTAGAGAAAGGGGTTATTTCAGCTCACAGTTCCTAATTACAAACCATCATTTTGGGGGAAGCCAAGGCAGTAGGGAGTTGAAACAGAGATGAAGTAATGTATTCATGTGTACGCCCCACTGGCTTTCTAGTACAGCCTCAACAATTGGAGCTAAGTAAGAGCCCACGTGCAGCAGCGAGCGCCCCCTCAAGGTCCCCGGGATGAAGTACCACCCTTTCGTCATTGATCAGAAACTTGAGCTGATGTTGGTGCTGAGGGGCAGTGAAGCCTTGGACATGATGGGGGTTAGAAGGGCATCAGAGCGAGGCCCCGTAAATGAATTCTAGTGACTTTATCAGCAAAAGAGCAAATCAGGCATACATGCATGACCTTTTTCTTTTGCCGTGTAATGCTTTGTGCCACCTTTAGACTCTGCTGGAAGGCCACCGCCACATGTGACCTTTCTATCTAATCTCCAGAACTATGGAGTAAATAGATCTCTCTCTTTTATTTTTAAGGTTTTACAGCCTTGGGTATTTGATAATAGGTTGCTGCAGCATCTCTCTGCTTCTATGACTCCCCAGTAGAAACTACTGAAGAGATACTGACCTGCTCTGCCATTGTTTGGGATGAGTTTTCTCTCATCTTTTTATCCAGAATCGTTGCTCATTGTCCTGAAACAGAAACACCCATTCTCTGGTGGTATTTTGAGATCTCTTATTCATATCTGTCTCAGCATAAACTTCATTGAGGTTGGTGTAAATTCTGAATCCTCAATCTAGATAGGAGGAAGTTAGAAGGGAATCATGGGATATGACTCCATGGGATCCTGGGAAAGGCCCAAAGCTATTGATGCAATGTAGATCTATGCAGATCAGAAAATGGGCATCAAACCAGACGGGCAGGAGCCTGGACAAAGCTGGTAAGGCTTTCGTGTGCTTGGATAGGGCCAGCATGGTTTGAAGCCATCAATTGTTAAAGGCTACTTCCGATTAATGCAAGCGTTAGTTATGCGTGCTATGGAACTTGTTAGAGTTAACCTTTATGTGCACGCTCATTGCACTTGAGAAAAAGTACTACGCACCAAGTTCAAGCTTCCTAGGCTTCCATTGCCCTTCCCTTTGCCATCTTACTTTTCAAGCCAGGGTCTCTCCCTGAACCCGGACCTCACAGACTCAGCTGCGTTAGCTGACCAAGCAGGCCCCGGGGTCTTCCTGTCTTTGCCTCTCCAGTGCTGGGATTACAGACACACGCCACTGTGCCCAGCTTCTGACATGCGTGCTGAGCATCCAGACTCAGGTCCTTACCCACTGAACCCTCTCCCCTGCCTCCACTTTAATATTCATGAATACAGTTACCCATGTGATCATCATTAGCCTGGAACTGTCCCTGGCTGTAAGAAGTTACCTCCTGCCTGCTCTTTGTACAATCCTTACCCAAACCTGATTAATCACAGGCAGCCCTCAGAAGACCCCAAACTTAAAAAGCAAAAGCCCCCACATTGAGACCAACTCAAAATCTAAACCACACCGTTTATTTTTCTCCAGAGTATGGACAAACAAGCCATATGCCAGGGCCTATGAACACTGGGCTGAAGATGTTTTATTCCTGTGGGGACCCAGCCCTGTCCCCGTGGTAACTCTCAGGGATACCCTTGCTTTTCAGGCAGGGGTGGGGTATGGATACAGGAGGGCTAGTGAGGGGACTTTCCCGTACACCTGTTGATGGTGACCTCGGTGCAAGAGTCAGTCAATCTCCTCTGCAACCTCCTGCCCTAGTATGCAGGAAGGGCCAGAGTCCTATTAAAAATAAGAAAAAGGGGGTTCTGTGAGGGAGGGGGCAATACCTGGCTTAGACCCAAGGACCCCGGGGAGCCCAGGGGTGTTGGGTTGGCCTTGTGATTATGTAGTTTAGTACTTAAATTTCCAGATGGGAAAAGGATATAACAAAAGATGACAAAAGACAGAGCTGGTCTTGGGAGCCTGGAGCCTGGAGGTCACGTTCACTGCCTTGCTCTGTGGTCAGACCAGAGCCTCGGAAATGCCAGTCTCTTCTGGAACATTCTGAGTTCTTGGTGCTTAATGACCTTCTTGAAGGCAAACCTGTGAAACCTCCGTGATGTCAAGATTTCCCACGATGAGTCGAGGACAGCGCAGAGGAACCCAGGGGACATCTATATCAGGCGACAGGGCTGGGTACCCTGGACATCAGTCTTTTGTCTCTTTTAGAAAGAAACTACAGGAGGACATGAAAAACTGATGGAACACATCACTCGGTGCCGCAGTGTAGATGACTTGGAGAGCCTGGTTGTGGAAGGGCTGCCTCAGAACGAATAAAGTGAGGGTGGAGGAACGCTGGGTAGCATGGGAAGCCTGGACTCCATCCTGTAGACGCGGAGCTGCGATCTACTAGTCAGATGACTCCTTGGGCATATATGCCACATTGTCATAGGCAGGAGGTGGAGAGACGGCTGGGCTGGGGATGGTGAAGTCCGTGCCGAAGGCGTTGGGTAGGAAAATCACAGACTGCAAAGAAGCAGAAAACCCCAATTCTGGGTGGCTCTGCGGTCTTCGATAAGCGTTGCAACAGTGCCACCCGCTGGGCACTCTGAGAACAGCGCCTTAGTACTGAATGCTCACACACAAAAAGCATCGTTTAATTAACATTTCAGAAAACATTTTATAGAGTCAGTTATGATCCAGGGCTTGGACACACCGCAGTAAGAAAAGTAGATAAACTTCATTCCTCTAGGGGCTAGTGAGCTGATGATTCCTCTCTGGACAGCCCCTCTGAGTTCGGGCCTCTATAGCTCTTGCCTGAACCACAGCGCTGGTCCCTGGCTGCTTCCACACCGATAGCCCTTCACGGTGCCCCTTGAATCCAGCTCATTCCCCCTGCTCCAACCTTAAAAGGCGTCCACTAGAACCTGGCTGCATTTTTCCGCCCAAAGAAGCCTTTGTGTTATCAGTACCCCCTTTCCCACTTTCTTTTTATCTCCCTCCGCCCCTCCCTCCTTTTCTTTTCCTCCGGAAAAAATGAGTTTAACTTCCACCGAGTCATGCTGTCTTTTCTGCTGTGCCCACCTGTTCACACTCTGTGGACCGTCTGTGCAAGGTGCGACCCTCACCCGCCCTAACCCTGTTCTCCAATTCCGAAGGATCTCAGTTCTGCCGCTAGTGCTGGCGCCCTCCTGTGGCCACGGGGTGAATAGTCCCATTTCACGACCTGGGGCCCTAGCGTCTTACGGGAAGCTCATCACAGCTTAGCCCCAAAGGGGAAGTGGGAGGGGGCTGGAGGTGCAGCCTCTTCCTAGACTAGAGGCATTCCTCAGGGCCCTGGACATGGTGTGAGAGTACTCACTGCGTTAGTTTGGGCACGGGTGGCTTGGCACCCAAAGTGGGTGGCGATGACTGCGATGAAGAACTCCAGGATGGTGAAGATGGTCAACACAGCAAGGTAGCCCCTGCCCACATCCTGGGGACCCAAACCCACAGTCAAGTCAAACCGGGAGTTTAAAAGTAAAGGTACCCCCCTGGACCAAAAATAACGCCCAGGCAAGAGGCAGAGGTAGCCCTGGGTCCAGGTTTCCTGACTCCAGCCCTGCCCGCTCCTTCCTTTCTCCCAGGACTCATCTCCCTTCTCCCCACACCCGATCTTGGGGTAGGGCTATGGTGTCAGTACACTCAAGAGGTCTATCGGAGCAGCAGGCTCTGCAAAATGCCCAGGGTTGCGGACAACTGGGTCTTCCCTAGTTATGGCTGCAGCCCTTATCTTTCCGGGTTTAGTACCCTCAGGGACATCTGCCAACACACCCAGTTAGTGACCCCGAAGTCCATGAGAAGAATGGCTGTCCCAGCGAAGGCCGCCATGGCGCTGAGGATGTTGGTTCCCAGACTGCTCCTCACCTGTGGGAGGAAGAGGGGCACCAAGAAGAGACAAAGAGGAGAAAAGACAGGAGCTCCAGCTCACTGCCCAGCCTCCTGCACCCTCCCTTTCATGGCCCGGGGTTGGGGTCATGAGCCCTGCACGGCTGGATTTTTCTCTCTCACTCTTCTTTTTCTTCTCCATCCCTGGGACTCCAGGAAGAGGCCCTCATGCCTCCCTTTGCTTCTTCCATGCTCTTGGGAGCTGCTGGGGAGGAGGCCTGGCCCTCTTCAAGGCTTTCCTGGGCCAGGCTAGCAGCAGATGCCTGTCCCATGCCCCTCCCCCCCCCCCAAAGCTGTACTTCACTTCCTCCAGGGCCAGGCCCACACTCTGAGACATCTTGGAGGCTGTTCTGGGGACCCTTCCTGCATCGGCTCCCTCTGAATGTCTGTGAGGATTTCATCTGTAGACCTTGGGTGGCGTTCTGCAAGTGTCCCATCTCTTCCTTCTGTATTTGGATGTCTGAATTCCTTCCATGGACACTTAGAAAACCCCCAAGAAAGGCTTGTTGAATGGATCAAATGAGTGGGCAGACGGAGGTGAGGGTCCTGAGGTGAGTGGCCCCATCCCCACCCTGATTCTCTGTCTCCAGTCAGACTTACCAGGCAACTGGTGTGGTTTTTCTCAGCTGCTACCGAGAGGGACCCAGAGATGATGAACTGTGTGGGGGAAGAGAGAGGGCCCAGTGAGGTTTTGGCTGGGACACTGACCAGGGCAAATCATGCCCAAGTTCTGTCAAGAAGATTCAGGTGTAGGCAGAGAACCATAGGCTTTCTTGTCTGCATCCTGACCAGGCATCTTGGGCATATTTTCTAAGGATGTCTTAGTGGTTCTGTAAGAGGCCTTTGTCCTCTGGCATGGTGGCATATGCCTTTAATCCCAGCACATGGGAAGCACAGGCAAGCAAATCTCTGTGAGTTTGAGGCCTGCCTGGTCTACATAATGAGTTCTAGGACAGCTACAAATAGAGATTCTGTCTCAAACAAACAAACAACAAAAGAGGCCTCTGTTTTGAGACATAAAGTCATACTTCACAAGGTATGTTGACGTGGGATTCCCCTCTGTATGCTGTGAATATGTTTTACTACCATTGGTTAATAAAGAAACTGCTTTGGCCTATGGCAGGGCAGAATATAGCTAGGCAGGAAATCCAAACAGATATAGAGAGAAAGAAGGTGGAGTCAGAGAGATGCCTACAGCTGTTGGGGAAGCAAGATGTGAGGTAACAAGCCACTAGCCTCGTGGTAAAATACAGACCAATAGAAATGGGTTAAGTCGTAAGAGCTAGTTAATAATAAGCCTGAGCTAATAGGCCAAACAGTTTGTAATTAAAATTAACCCTCAGAGTGGTTGTTAGGGAACTGGTGGGTGGGAGAGAAACTCTATTACAATATGTATTTTCATTGACATCATATTACTGACACCTCATAGGGTATGCACCTTCAAATAGTCAGTTAGTCAAATATTTATCAGGTAGCAGTTGGGTGTCAAAAACATAACAGAGGAGCTGGATAAAATGGAAAAGATCTTCCTCTCATGGAGCTAATATTCATTTAGGCAGTAGTCCCACACATGAGGCCATGTGTGTACATGCATGCATTCGTACGTGTGTGCATTCATGCATGTGCATGTGTGTGTGTGCTCACTTCTGTCATCCAAGGTCAGGGTGTCATTCCTCCTCAGGAGCTGCCTGCTTTGTCTCTTGAGAGAGGCTCTCTTACCTGGACTTGGTGGAGCTGACCAGGGAGGCCCAGGGAGGGCTGCCTGCTTGCATCTCTCCAGCACTGGGATTGGAAGGCCAGGCAGGCTTTTGACAAGGGTGGTGGAGACAGGAGTCAAGCCCTCATTCTCGTCAGGCAAATGCTTTACACACAGAACGACCACTCTCCCCAGCCCTGCGAAGCTCTAAGATAAAGACTGGATACTGAGCTGCGCATGCCCTGCCCAGCCTGGTGATCCTGTTGTCTCCAGAGCCGGACAAGCAGGTCCTTGCTTACTTCTCCCCTCCTACCGTATGCATGTGACACTTTTTGTGACAGTTTGGAGCAGGATCGGGAGCTCAGAAAAGAATGCAGAAAGCTACTTTTGTTTCTTCCTGAGGCAGGGCCTCCTTAGACGCCTGCTTGCCAGCATTTTTCTTCAACTTGAGCCCACAACTTGAGCGGGGACTTAAGGTTTGTTCCCAGCCATTTAGCTCTAGCTGTGGAGTTTCAACAATGCTGGCCTCTCTGAGTTTTGCTTTTAGGGGCTTCTGAGCTCTTGCCGAGATAGCTTGGGATACTCAGAAGGGACTGCACTATCATACACAGTGGGGCTTCAGTGTAGACCCCATTAAATGGACCCCAAAGCCTGTGCTTCCTGGACACAGCAGGAGGCTCCCTGGCACCAGAGCACTGGCGCTTTCGGTAGAGCCATGCACAACAATGCCACCTTGCAAACTTCTCTTCAGCACTTAGGAGCAGACAAGGAAGCCTGGTTTGGTTCTCCACTGGGGTATGGCCAGTGGAATGGACGCAGCACAGAAAGACTCCCTGGAGATCAGCCCAGGCAAGGCTGGAACCCACAGAGGGAACTGAGGGGCTGCTGCAAGCATGGTGGAGTTGCGGGGTTAGGATGCAGGAAGCCCAGGTGTAGATTGGGGCAGGAAGAGGTAGAGCTGGGCCGGAACACGCCCCAGCACAGAATGGCATCTCGGGCACTCACGCAAGCTCCTCCCCAGAAGGGGACGCCACCTTCGATGAAAAGCATCCCCAGGTGCCCTCGGCGGACCATGAGCAGGACGCTGCCAAAGCCAAGGTGGATGAGGCCAATCAGGATCTGCACCGTCTGTGGAAGGCATCGAGGGCTCAGACCACTGACCTCCGGCCATGAGCTCCACAGCGCCCCCTGCCGAGGAGAGCGACCGATTCCCGCAGATCTGGTTTCCCACAGCTGCAGGGGAGTCATTTCCATTCCCACAGGCTGAGGTCAGAGCATTAAATCAAGATAGAACCAGCTTTCCTCAGCCCACTAGGAGCTCCAGACTCGTGTGTAATTTGTGAGTGGGGCTGTGGTTGTCAAGGACAGCTCTGAGTTGCTTGTCTGATTCTCTTAGCCCTGGTTCCTTGACTCTTGGCACTCGGGTAACCAGATTGCATTCTCCCTGTGTGTAGTTTTTTCCTAGTCCATCCTGGCGGTGGGAGTTACAGCTATTTCACTGGCGGCAATCTCCACTTCATTTTCTCTGTCTCCCTCCCTGCCCCCCCACCTTCCTCACCCCCTCTCTTTCTTCTATTAACCAGTGACCCATGGAAACATTCCCAGTGGTGGGATGGTTTTCCTAAGGGTGGGGACTCTCTGGGGAGTGTGGCCTTATGGAAAATTTTGCTGTATTGCTTTTCAAACATTTTTGGAGATTAGACCTGAGCAGAGAGAGATAGGGAAGAGTCCAGCCTATGCCCAGGCCTGGCACCGCTTCCAGCTCGGGGTGTCCCACAGGGCCTCCAGTGGTAAGCAAGGGTTCGATGTCACCCAAGGCAGTAAGTAGTCTATAATGGCATCTCTTTGAGCAGCGACAGTCACAGTCTTGGAGTCTTGGGGACTGCATTTGCTTTCAAACGTGAGTGCCAAGAATTGGGATACTTATGGACACAAACTTCTGTATTCTGTTGCTTTCTCTCCTCCATTGCCTACCCTTCATCTCTCCAGCTTCCCTGGGCAGAGTGGTGTGTGTGTGTGTGTGTGTGTGTATGTGTGTGTGTCCCACTGCCAACAACAGCATCTTTCTCTGCCACTGGAATAACTCCAGTGAAATGCCAGCTGCCACTCTCTGCAAGCCTGTCACACAGCACAGCACTGCACAGCACAGCACTGCACAGCACAGCAATGCACAGCACTGCACAGCACAGCACTGCACAGCACTGCACAGCACTGCACTGCACAGCAATGCACAGCACAGCACAGCACTGCACAGCACAGCACAGCATAGCACAGCACAGCACTGCACAGCACAGCACAGCAGCACAGCACAGCACTGCACAGCAATGCACAGCACAGCACAGCACTGCACAGCCCAGCACAGCACTGCACAGCACTGCACAGCAATGCACAGCACAGCACAGCACTGCACAGCATAGCACAGCACAGTACTGCACAGCCCAGCCCAGCACTGCACAGCCCAGCCCAGCACAGCAGCATAGCACAGCAATGCACAGCACAGCACAGCACAGCAGCACAGCACAGCAATGCACAGCACAGCACAGCACTGCACAGCAATGCACAGCACAGCACTGCACAGCACTGCACAGCACTGCACAGCATAGCACAGCACTGCACAGCACTGCACAGCACAGCAGCACAGCACAGCACTGCACAGCGCTGCACAGCACAGCACAGCAATGCACAGCAAGCACTGCACATCACTGCACAGCACAGCACTGCACAGCACAGCACTGCACAGCACAGCACTTCACAGCACTGCACAGCACTGCACAGCACAGCACTGCACAGCACAGCACAGCACTACACAGCCCAGCACTACACAGCATAGCACAGCACAGCACAGCACTGCACAGCCCAGCACAGCACAGCACAGCACTGCACAGCACAGCACTGCACTGCACAGCAATGCACAGCATAGCACAGCACAGCACTGCACAGCAATGCACAGCACAGCACAGCACTGCACAGCCCAGCACAGCACTGCACAGCACTGCACAGCAATGCACAGCAATGCACAGCACAGCACAGCACTGCACAGCATAGCACAGCACAGTACTGCACAGCCCAGCACAGCACTGCACAGCCCAGCACAGCACAGCAGCACAGCACAGCAATGCACAGCACAGCACAGCACAGCAATGCACAGCACAGCACAGCAATGCACAGCACAGCACTGCACAGAAATGCACAGCAATGCACAGCACTTCACAGCACAGCACTGCACAGCGCTGCACAGCACAGCACAGCAATGCACAGCACAGCACTGAACAGCACAGCAATGCACAGCACAGCACTGAACAGCACAGCACTGCACAGCACTGCACAGCACAGCACAGCACTGAACAGCACAGCACAGCACTGCACAGCACAGCACAGCAATGCACAGCACAGCACAGCACTGCACAGCGCTGCACAGCACAGCAATGCACAGCACAGCACTGCACAGCGCTGCACAGTACAGCACAGCAATGCACAGCACTTCACAGCACTGCACAGCACAGCACTGCACAGCAGCACAGCACTGCACAGCGCAGCACTGCACAGCACAGCAATGCACAACACTGCACAGCACAGCACAGCACTGTGTTGGCTATTTTCAGATCTGTCCTCTTTTAACCCTGACACAGTGATGTGAGCACCATCTTAATTTTGGAGCCCAGGAGACTGAACTCATAGACAGTCACTAACCCACAGATGTGGAGGAGTGGACCGGCTAACTCCAAAGTGTGCTGCCTAGTTTTATGTCACCTTGACACAAACTAGAGTAATGAAGGGGTCTTCAATTGAGAAAATGCCTCTTTGAGATCAGGCTGCAGGCAGCAAGACATTTTTTAAATTAGTGATCCATGGGGGAAGGCTCAGCCCATGGTGGGTAGTGCCATCCTTGGCCTGGTGGTCCTGGGTTCTTTAAGAAAGCAGGCTGAGCAAGTTATGAGGGCCAAGCCAGTAAGCAGCTCCCTCCATGGCCTCTGCATCAGCTCCTGCTTCCAGATTCCTGCCCTGTTTGAGTTCCTGTCGTGACTTCCTCCAATAATAGACTACGATGTGGAAGGGTAAGTCAGGTAAACCCTTTTCTCCCCAGCTTGTTTTTGGTCATGATGTTTCATCATAGCAATAGAAACCCTGACTCCCCCCCCCCCCTCTCTCTCTCTCTGTGTGTGTGTGTGTGAAAGAGAGAGAGAGAGAGAGAGAGAGAGAGAGAGAGAGAGAGAGAGAGAGTTCAGTTCCCAGTCAGTTTCCATGGCCTGCTCTGTGGTTTTGTGTTCTAGAAACAATATCTTTTCTTTTTCTTTCTTTCTTTTTTTTTTTTTAATTTTTGAGACAGGGTTTCTTTGTGTAGTCTTGACTGTCTTGGAACTAGCTCTGTAGACCAGGCTGGCCTTGAACTCACAGAGATCCGCCTGCCTCTTCCTCCGGAGTGTTGGTATTAAAGGTGTGTGCCACCACTGCTGGCCAATATCTTATTTTAATTTGCCATCCTGGTCACCGTAGGTACCACCAAGCCTGATACAGCTTTTAGGATTTGAGTTCTGCATTCCAGCAGGTTTGAGTTAGAGGTCCTGGCCTGACCAGACAGTGGGACTGAAAGTAGAACTCTATGGTCAGGCTGTCCCAGGTCACGTGATGCCACCTGCTGGCTGTCTGGCCTTGGGCAAAAGACTTGTATTGAGAAGCCTTAGGCTCCTAGTCTTTCCAGTAAGAACTGGAGTCCCCGGCTCGCAAGGTGTTGCTGAGAATTGAGAATCTGGAGAGATGACGTGAGTACAGTGTGCCTCCCAGAGCTGTCATTGGCCCCATTGCTTACACTATTTCTGTTGTTCACACGGAGAATCCTATGCAGAAAGTTGCAGCCTAACTTAGTACGGAAACAAACAGAACAACTTAGGGCATATATTTTGAATAAATAAATAACGGGGTTCAGACCAACACAGACAGCTGAACACAGGCAGTTGCAGGCATCCTAAGGATCAGATCACACCCAAATGAAGCAAAAGCCCACTGTCACCACTGCTCAAGCAGGAGACCTCCCTGTCAGTTCTTCCTTTGTTCATTATGTTCCAGCTAATGTTAGTATTCTGCATCTCCCTTCAACAAGCCACACCCGTCTCCACCTCAGGGCCTTTGCATTTTTGCTCTTCTGCACAAGCAATCCTACCCTTCACCTATCCTTCCATCCATCCAGCTCTTGCTGGGCTGGCTTTAACACCTAGAATTTAGCTTCAGTGTCATCTCCCTGGAGAGCTCTTTCTGTCTTTGCTAGTGTTCAGTACCCCATTTATCATCCCCCCCAACCCCCCCCCCCCCTCCGGTTCAAAAACAGGGTTTCTCTGTGTAACTTTGGAGCCTGTCCCGGAACTCACTCTGTAGACCAGTCTGGCATCTAACTCAGAGATCTGCCTGCCTCTACCTCCCTAGTGTTGGGATTAAAAGTGTGCGCCGCCACCGCCCGGACTCCATACATCATTTTTAGCTCTCTTTGGAGCTCTGGTCATTTGTTTACTGGTTTATTTGGTGAGCTCCGAGGAGGGAAGGGAAGCCTTGTTTGTCTGGCGCATTTCTTATAATTATCCCTTGCCTTTGCCCCTCTATGTTGAGCATAAGGCTCACTGCCTGCCTAGCGGGTCTGTCTCAGGTCACATGGGGGAATTTCTCTTACCCCTAAAGCTTTGGGCTCTCCGGTCAAGAAGGTCTCTATTGGTCTTAGGTCAGGTGGCTGGGTGGCCCTGGGCGCCTGCGCCCCCAGCGGTGACTCTTCGAACTGCATGATCCCCGGAGGCTGGCACATGGAGGTGGGCAGGATGGCTGGAGGCGGGCGGAGGCCACTGGCGTTGCTGGGCGGGATGACGACGAATACACCATTGCTGGCAGGAGGTGTGGACATCGTGTTCAGAGAGCCTGGAGGATGAAGGCTCAGGAGATAAAAAGGCAGTAATGGTCATTGCACAATTGCTTACGGCACACCCTCCTGCTCTTGCTTACTGAGGCCCGGAGATAATAGAGTCCAAATCTCCGACTAGAGCTGGGAAGAAGAGACTCACCGAAGGGAGTAGGCGCTTGGGGAAAGCTAAGAATTTTTTTTTTCTTTAATCTTAGGCTTTTTTTGACTCTTGACTCTGATCTTGATTTCTCCCATATTACATGGAAAGAACTTTTTATTTTTAATGCTGGGCATGGAACCCAGCCTACAGGAGATGCAAGCCCACTATTACTGAGCCATATCCCCAGCCAAGTGGAGCCTTTGAGAGGAGCACGCATGTGCACATCCTGCTTTCCCCGGAGAGGGCGAGTGACTGCTCAAGAATTCACAGCCCTGGGAAGGTGGAGCCTAGTTGAAGTTCCATTTTACTCTTGGAAAGAGAAGGACGAGACAGGACGTTAGCCCACTCTTCCCTTCCCTTCCCGTCCCTTCCCTCCCCTCCCCTCCCCTTCCTTCCTTCCTTCCTTCCTTCCTTCCTTCCTTCCTTCCTTCCTCTAGACCTCCATCTGTTGGCTGTGGGTACATAATTACCCCTGGGACAACACATCCTGCTCCCCTTGACTGCCCAAGGAATAACCACTATTGTAGCCAAGATAAACCTGGGTTGTGGAAAGCTTAGGTGTGACTGGCCCGGGAAAGCGTACTAGGGAATGCGGACCCGTTAGCTAGATGCCAGGCAGCAGCTTTCCAGGGTGCTGCAGTTACTAATCTAGTAGATTAGATGACATTAAAACAGTCAACCTCCTTGCCATTTTATACACGGTGAAGAACCCATCAGCTCTGTGACAGAAGGCAGGATTTGAACCTTGACCTATGTAGTTACATCACTATGAAGCAATGAGTAATATGGTCATCTCTTCCTGTCTCAGTTTCCTGACCAAAAGAGTAGGGGTAAGGGCACTAGACCTTGTCTCGTTATAGGTCTGGTAAAGGCCATAATTTACACAGTGAATTGTTCCAGCACTTTCACCTGGAGTATGTTTTTAAACCTTATAACTTCAGTGCACAAATGTGTATTTACCTCTTGCTTTTAGGGCTTCAGTTTGTGTTCATGAGGCCTTGCAGCCTGTAGACCGTACGGCTTGTGGGGGATCAGGCTGCGCTGTGCTCTGAGTTACTCCATAGTGTGTAAAAGAATGGCTTTGGGCTGTGCCCTGCCCTGTGTGACTTGGTTTGAGAGGCAGCATTCGGCTGCTCGGTGAGTTCAAACGAGGCAAGATGACTCCGTGTCTCACTGTGCTTGTTGGTAACCACCTGCTGCCAGTGCCACCCGCGAGGCACAAACAATTTTCTCCCAAGGATGAAAAGTGCCACATGGGTCCTGTAAAGAGAGCACTGACACCGCAGTGGTGATGGCCCCACTGGCCTGGCGTGTGTCCACCAATGTGTGTGTCGTGGGACCAACAGGTGGATTGTCTGGGGCTTCCACTCAGCCTGATCCCCACTGCTTGGTGCAGCCTCCTGAAACTGCTGCTAGTCTGTCTCTTTGCCAGAGACGGTCCTGCACTTCTCTGTGGTCCCGTGTCTCTGTAGCTCCCCTCAACCCTGCAGCCCTGTGCCTTCAGCTCTCCACAATATTAACCCGGTGTCGTTAATAATGTATCCAACCAAATACAGAGATGTTTTGTTTCTCTGTTATCTCACTGCCTCTGGTAAGGCCTCTTTGTACTTTTTATAGTCATTCTGTAACCTGTAACACACACACACTTTCTGAGCTATTCACAAGGCACCAGCTGGGCCCTGCTTCAGGCTATGGGATTAGCAGCTGGCTAAGGTATTAGCAGCTTGTGCTAACCGTTTCTTGAGGGTGCACTTGTCTCTGGAGGCATTTGATAATTGCTTCTCACCTCCACAGTGACCTGATAGTTTCCACAGTTTATCACCTTGGTGTGATGACCGAAGCTTGCAGCAGAGAAGGGATATGCTTAAGGTGACTCTACTAGTGAGTCTGAGGGCAAGGATTCAAGTCCATGTCTGTGTCCCAGCCTGCACCTGTCCCTCACTGCTGCCTCCAGCGGCCGTCTCTGTCCTTTGCCCAGTTGTTCTAAGTTACTATATTCTGGGTGCCTTGAAGTTTGGTGTGATCATGTGACTTGTTTTGGTTGAAGCCACATGAATGACAATAAAGTCACAACTTCTGAGCTAAGAAAATAGTGACTCGCCCAGGGCACTGTGGAGGGTTTTCCTCGTTGTTATAGTAACTAGTCATTGCAGACAGAGGCCATTTTATCTGCTTGGGTTCCCCAGTGAGTAACGTCTCCAGGGCTGTGAAACAGAAGGAAGGACCACTCTCTGCTGTCTTATGACACAAGATGGGGGATGGGGGTAGTAAGCCGTGAGGACCCAAGTTCCATGTCCACACATAAAAATGCTGGGCATGGTGGAGTTCTTAGACTCCCAGTGCTGGGGAGACAGAGCCATGCTGTTCCCTAGTATTTGATGGCGGGCCTGTCTGGCCAAATTGGCCAGCTGCAGGCCAGCGAGAGACCCTGTCTGAAAAAACTAGGTGGATGGTACCTGAGGAATGACATTCGAGGTTGTCCTCTGGCCTTATGTATGTGTGCACACTTGTATATGTGCTTACACAGTGTGCATTGCATATATATATACATACACATGCCACACACATGGGCACTAAGCTATGTGTCCCTGAAGCATAATATATATATATATATATATATATATATATATATATATATACACATGCCACACACATGGGCACTAAGCTATGTGTCCCTGAAGCATAATATATATATATATATATATATATATATATATATATATATATACACACATGCCACACACATGGGCACTAAGCTATGTGTCCCTGAAGCATTATATATATATATATATATATATATATATATATATATATACACATGCCACACACATGGGCACTAAGCTGTGTGTCCCTGAAGAATAATATATATATATATATATATATATATATATATATATATATATATATACACATGCCACACACATGGCACTAAGCTATGTGTTCCTGAAGCATAATCTAGCTTCTGACCATCGATTCTCCAGAAACGGGTATTGAGAATACATATTATATATATATCCATTTTTATATGAGAGCCATTATCACTAAAGAGAGAGCCATCCAACGCCCTTCAGTATTCACAGGTGGTCAAATTAAAAAACCAAAGGGGGCTGAGTGAACCTGCCACAGCCACACTTTTAAAAATTATTTAGGACAGTTTAACACCTGAGTCAGAAAAGGCAGAATTTTGGCTAAAAGGACATAGTTGCTTTCATAGCTGTCGCTTCACCAGGGACAGGTGATGATCTGTCTGAGGGCCATGTGAGTCAGTCATTTGTGCATTGGGGCCGTTTTCTGGGATCAGAAGAACTCTGGGCTCCCGTGGGGCTCAAGCCACTCAGCAGGGAGTACTTGCGTCATTAACAACATCTCTCTCAGGTGGGTGGTGAGAGCCCCGTGATCCCAGGAGAAGAGAAACACCTACAGAAATAGGCTTTGCACCCTCAGCAGGAATGCATGACCCAGGTCGAGATTCACACACTCCCTCCACCCCCACCAGCTCCTCCGAAGCCAGTGACTAGTCTACCTGTGGTATTCCAGCTGACTCCACCTCAGTGCTCCCTCTTAGGAACCATCAGCCAGCACAGCCCGCCACTCAGGTAAGCAGAGGAAGGAAAGCCACCACACCCTGCCTTAAGGGAACAGCTACCTGGAAACTCAGGATGTCCAGGACAACTGTGTGATGGTCAGCTGCTGGACGAGCTGTGGTAATAACATCCCTTCGGGTAAAGCACTTAACAGGTTATAAAGAGCTCCCCTGTCTCCCTGGGACAGTCCTGGGATGGAGACATTCTGCAGTCCATTCTGCAGAATCAAGTGGGATAGGCCTTGAAGTCAGTCCATCGGATACCAGACTCTGAAGGGAGTGACGTCACCAAGGGTGTCAGGGGACTTGCAAAAGGCAGGTGACTGAGAAACTGTGGGCTGGTTTTTATACCCTCCTCCCAGGGTTGCAAGCGGGGCTGAGAGGAGATTTGACATTGCTCAGGGAGGAGGGAACATGTCTTTGGTTGTCTTTTGCCATGGGAGAGAGGCTTCCTTATAGGCTCTTTCCTCAGGGAGGGTGACAGCAACTCACAAAGCACCCAGCAGGCACATGGCCCCTGTCCTCTTTCTTTGTTTACCACTGCCCAGCCTTGGAGATGTCACTGTTAGTCAGCTACTGTGTGTACGGGGGCAGGGGCAAGAAAAGGTGCGGGAAAAGATGTACGCCACCCAACATCCTTCTCACCTGCTGCCCCGGGTCAGGATATGACCGAACACAAGACCAGGCAGGCTAATTGCAAGTTACTAAATTGCTATTGTTTAGCCCAAGGGTGACTGGAAAAGCAGCAGGACTGCCTAAGCATCACTCTGCTGGAAACGCTGTGAATCTCTAAAAATTAAAGTAAACAGTTTACTTAGAAACAGATACCTATGTACATCATAGAAATACACATTTGATTCACATCCTGCAAAGAAGTACCAATATCTAAATTCAAAAGAACTAACCCTCACAGAGCTCCTTAGGCTTGACTGAAACCACAAAACCAAACCAAACCATTGACTCTCTGGAAGAGAATATGGCCACCTAGCAATGTCTGGCCCCATGCTGGGCATGGAGGAGGTCTTCACTCCTCCAGGGCTTTGGGTGTTAACAGCCTCAGTGGCAGGGGACCTGTAGTGGTGGGCTGCTCGGGTGTGCTAGCTGGTGCACCCTTGGGGCAGTCGGCACTTGTCTCCGGAGTGTCTCTAGACAGCCTCTACTTCCACCCGGGTCCCAAAGCAGCTTTGCTTATTTCTGTGTTGAAGCTGCCTTTTGAGGAGGTGTTGGCCGCTGGAAGGGAGTGCCTGTAGGGGGTGGGGATTCTGGGATGAGATGTATGGGTCACACATCTGGGACTTGGCAGCCTACCTTAGTAGTTAAGTCACAGATCCTGCTCCCAGCCTGGTAAGAATGTATGTTACTGTCTGGGGAGATGAAGTTGAGAGAATTTGGGCAAATGGTCTGATTTCCCTGGGTCTCAGTTTCCTCACGTCACAGAAGTGAATCTGTAGTAGTGGGGGTGAGGTGTTTAAGGCTTCTAAGACTTCCTATATATACATCGGGGGTTTGCAGCCATTTCTCAGACCAGGCAAGAACTCACATCTATGTAAGTCTGGTCCTGTGGCACCAGGCATCTTGTCTCTAATCTCAGCTTTTCCAGGACAGCCCAGGGCTGCCCCATCATCCCAGAAGCGATGCCACCAGATGCCAACATGCCATGGGGAAACAGATCGCTCAGTCATTTTCTCCTACCTTCGGGTTAGACTTCACATACCCCACAGCTCTACCCCGGCACCCACCACTGAAACTGGCAGCAGGGGCAGCCTCTTCTTTCCCATCTGCAAATGACACAGTATTTGCCCAGAAGAGTTTTCTAGCAGAGACCCTTGCCATGTCCCTCTCCCCTCAGAGAAGGGGCAGGCAGGGCACCTGTGTGTGATTTGGAATCATCTGCCTAGGTTGGACATCTAACACGAGTTGGCTTCTGGAAGAAGGAACTCTCTACTTCTTGGGAGGGCTACTGTCTCCCCAGGATCCCTGGCAGGTACCTGAGTAATCTGTGGCCCTGGCTTTGAGGAGAGAAGAGAGATACCCTTCCTTTGTCCCCCTTTCCTGTCTAGTGGGTCTCTCATTGCCCTTAGCTGGAGTGGGTGGCCCTAAGATCTCTGATCTCTTCCTTCCTTCCTTCCTTCCTTCCTTCCTTCCTTCCTTCCTTCCCTTAGTACCTGGTGGGTTCCTATCAATGATCTCTTTCTCTTTCCCTCCCTGGGGGCCCCCACAAACCCCCACCTTTTCTCCTGTTGGTTCCCCGGTGGTCTTTCTAAAAGGACAATGGGGGTACTCACCGGCTTGCCACGGCTGCTGTGCGGGCTGCTGGCTCCCCTCTGCCTCTGCGCTCCCACAGTCACACATTATCCTGTGAAAACCTTGCTATTCGTGTGTGTGTGGGGCTTGGAAATCAGTGCTTGGGAGCTGCGCATCTGGTAGGTTCCTAGTCCTTCCCTGCTCAGAGGCTTCCGCCTGTCTCTCAGAGGTGGGGCCAGAGGCAACCACTTATGTGGTCACTGGCCTCCAAAGGACCCAAGAGTATCCCATTCCTTGCTTCAGTCTCTGGAAGGAACCATCAAGGCTCAGAGAGGAAAGTGAGTTGCTTGGCATACTAGAGCTGGGGTGGGGACCCATCGGCTTCCACCTTCCTCTTTACTGAGATGCCCTGAGAGGACTGTGTTCTGCCTTCCCAGGTTTGACCACAGCTAAACAAGGGGCCCAGGAGGCTCACAGCTTTTTGATGGCAGGTGGCAGAGGGTCTAAGCATAAACATTCATGTGAATATGTGTCTGTGTTTGTATACACAGTGCCCTTCAAGTGCTTAGCAAATCAGCCTGTGAGTTTCTGGGTTCAGGATCTCACAAAATATCTTATGGGACAACTGGGAAAGCCACATGATTGGGTAGAACCTATAGGCTTAAGACATCCTGGAGGCAGGTCTGGACCAGCTCTCAGCTAACCCTGGGAGAGATCAGTGTGGCAGACCGAATGTAAAAATGGCCGTAGTCCTTGGGTCAGTGAGTACCTACACCTGAAGAGAGGGTCAGAGTTATTTTCTCAGGTCCTCAGAACTGGGTTGCCTGGTAACTTCCTATGCCAACAGGAAGTGGGAGTGATCAGTTCCAACCTGAGACACAGGAGACTGTGAGCTCTGTACCTAACACTGAGCATGCCTGACTTCCCCGCTGGAGGACCCCTGTTGGAGGATGAGGCACGTGACATAACCCAATTGTCCTTGTGCAGCCAGGGTCAGCAAGGCCATGGAGTTGGTCTTCCACTGAGTATAAATGCAGGAGATAGTTTTGCCAAGTCCAGGTCAAACCAGACCTGCCCAGGTGACAGGAGACTGGAAGCAAAGTGAATTCTCTTTTGTGATATAGCAGAGGGTCTGCCTCTTTGTTATAGGCACAGATTTGAGCCTAGAGGGCACATGATAAGACTTCTATCCTTATGTCCCTGAATGAGGAGTTAGACCAGGGATACATGGGTAGTGACTGACAGGGGCAGTTATTAAGTAAGAGAAAGGTTCTCTTGAGAACGGAAGTAGGATAGACACCTGGGACTGCTCAGAGGCTCAGAAGTGTTGGGCATTCCAACACCAGGGCCCTTTATAGGTCGTTTGCATAGAACCTGCCTTTCCCATTTGTCTTCTGTATGCAGTCTTGGTAGGGAGGTTTCCAGTCTCTGCCAACTGGCTTCTCATGTTATTTTTGATGCCTCTTTCCCCATGTTCAAATCTCTTGCAATAACCTTTGGGGTAGCCTGATCATCTCTTAGTACGAGCAGCCGTAGGCATTGTCTGGGCTTAGGAAACAGACCCTCCAGAGCACAGCTTGTTGGCATCTGATCTCTGAGATATGGAAGACTCAAGGTCTCTGACCTTCAGCCCTCCTGTGTCTCTCACCCTCTTCCTCCTTACGACTTGCTTCTCAGAGTACTCTTGAAATTTCATTATCTGAAGATAGACTCTCTGGGGGACTGGAGAGATGGCTCATCAGTTAAGAGCACTGACTGCTCTTCCAGATGAGTCGGGTTAAGTTTCCAGCACCCACATGGCAGCTCACTGCTGTCTGTAACTCCAGTTCCAGTTCCACAGACACACATTCAGGCAAAACACCAATATACATAAAAATAAAAAGACAGATTCTCCACCAGGCCTTATCGTTGCCATGAGGTGTGCCCTCATCTCATCAAGCAGGGGAGATTAATGTCACAGGACACTCACTGAAGGCCAACACCTCAGGCTGTCACAATCATTGCCTACAACTTTTATTACCCAAGAAAAAGTTTATCTGTGTTCCTGCCTTGAGACCACCGTCCAGCCTGCACCCTCCCTCCACCCTCCTCCCCTACATTGCTATCCCCTCCCTCCAAGCCTCAGCTGCTTATTTCTTGCCTATCTAGCTCTATTGCAGGCACCTAATACATTTAAATATCTTTTCACCTGTTAATCAGTCTACTGTCTGCTGACATGAAAGATTCTGGAAACTTTTGAGGCTAGAGAAGTGAGATAATTCCCTTTCCCCAGCGGAACACTGAAATTTCAGAATGGGAAGGGAATTTAGGAGGATGAGGGAGGAAGATCAGGAGTTCAAGGTCATCCTCAGCTAAGAGGGAGTCTGAGGCCAGCCTGGGAGACAGGTCTTGGTTTATCTCTCTCTGAAACTACCTCTCCCTCTACAAGACAAACAATGGGGGTGGGAGAAGCCTGGTAACAGTGAGGTAGAGGCTTTGTTCACATGTTGCCTGCCCACTACCTTTACTTCTTAGTACTGTGATTTCTGCACTAGAATGCATTTGAGTGGACTTAAGGACCCCATTCTTATCGTAGGGCCCCCTGGTGACTGCTAATGTGTGTCACCAGAGTTGTGACCGTGTGGAGCTTTAGGCTAGTAGATGCTGCAATATGGAAGTTTCACCTTTTACATTTTTTTTTTTTTTGGCCCAACACCCTTCCTTATTGCAGGCAGAAAAGAGATGCTTGAGGGGCGGAAGGGACAGTTGGTAAAGTGCTTGCTTTGAAAACATAAAGACCCTAGTTTGATCCTCAGAGTCTGTGTTAAAAAGAAAAAGCCAGGCATGACAGCACATGATGGCTATCTTAGCTCTGAGGAGGTGTGACAGGCAGATTCCTAGGCCTCACTGGCTTGCTGGCCTAGTCTACTTGGAGAATTCCAGGCCAGCAAAAAAGAATCTGTCTCAAGGAGGAGGAAGATGAAGAGGAGGAGAGTGCCTGAGAAACGACATCTGATACTGTCCTCCACATGCTTGCACATACATGTACAAGCACACTCATACGTACCCTTGCACTAGTATGTACCTGTGTACATATCAAACACATGTCCACACACACACATGAAATAAAAAGAAATGCTTGAACATAGGCACTCAGTGAAGCAGTGCCGGGAGCCAGGGTCACTCTAGTGAAAGAGGCTCTTTGGTCTTTGTAGATTCTTCAGCTGGAAACAGCCTTGGGCATGGGAAAGGAGCAGTGGTTATGCGGTGAAACAGCACCAGGAACATAGATCCTATCACTTGTGCATGTTGCCCATTGTAAGGACTCTGGGAAAAGACAGAAGGACAGAAGAGGGGGCTGGAGAGCAACGAGGGACTATGGTCTGAAAGGTCCTCTTATAGAGCCCCTTTGTACAGGTAACAGAGGGTTTGGAGTTTGCATCTCTACCACTACTCAATCTAGACAGCTTTTTCTTGGGCTTGGGTGGCTTGCTCGTTACAGTTCCAGCAGGCACCGTGGTGTCCATTTGCTGTTTCTCACACCCAGGAGTGCTGGGGACACACACCAGGGTCGGGCAGTTAATGTTCTTGGTGCTGCTCCCATGTTCCTCAGGTGGAGAGAGTTACCCTTCAGGATTAGAGTTGGGGGAGGGTAATTAGACAGTTGGCCTGTCTACTAGTCTAGTTTAGAATTGATTTCTCAACAGTAAGCATACAAGTGGAGCAACAGAAGAAAAAAAATGCAACTTTGTATGCACTTTGTTAAAGTTAAAAGACATTTAGAGTCAAGGGGAAACATTTATTTATTAAAAATTGCGTTAATAACATACAAAAGGAAAGCTTAAGAGTGAAGAGGGGGAAGTATGGGTGTTTATCTTGGCCTAGTGGTTATGCCATGGTCAAGGTCTCAGGTGTTTCATGTGGAAGCAAAGCTACTTGCATTGGTACTTCTGTGTCAGTGAAGCGGGCATTCCATCAGCTAGTTCTGGGCAAGATCAGCTCCATTTTTGTATGAGTGTTCAGGGAAAGCATTATTGGGGATGGTGGGCTGGACATTGAGCTGGACTGGGATGTTGGTGGCACTGTGTGGGCTGGTGGTATTGACAGGTCCATTGGTAGTGTTGACTGGTCCATTGGTAGTGTTGACTGGTCCATTGGTAGTGTTGACTGGTCCATTGGTAGTGTTGACTGGTCCATTGGTAGTGTTGAGTGGTCCATTGGTAGTGTTGACTGGTCCATTGGTCGAGTTGAATGGTCCGTTGGTTGTGTTGACAGTGTTGCTACTGAATATAGGTGAGATCACAGATATGTTCTGAAAGACCAAGGAAATCATCAGTGTCCTCTGAACTTCAAGAAAGGCAATAATTTCTTTCCTGTCCTCTTTCCATGGGGTAGGCTGGGCTTGGCCACACATGACTTTCTTTGGCTAAGCAGACAGTAGTAATAGGGATATAAGTCAGGGCCTGTGAAGTGTTTGCCTACTGGGGCTTGATCTTTTTTTGCTGCTCATTGGAACAGAAAGCAGTCAGGACTGACCTGATGAATAATGAGATAAGTAGCCCAGGTTTTTTTCCCCCCTGTTCACAACCAGTTTGCCAACTACCAGACACATGTGTGTCTATCCAAGACCACTCAACCACTGGGTATCTCAGCAACTGACTGTTGATTCAGTGATCCCAGCAGATCAGAACTGTCTGTAAGGCCCAGAGGATCATGAGCTAAATGCCTGTTTTGTGAGCTATTACATCTTAGGGCTGTATTTCTGGAGTTACCAATGGGTAAATTTTAGGCTTAAGAACAAATGTCAGATTAGGGTTAGACCCACACAGAAAGGATTGTGCCTATACAACCCTGTGCTAGGTAAGACTGTGCATGTGTTTATGTGTGTGTGCACAAGAGCATGGGCTTATGTGTGACTGTGTGTACCCATGTGTATAGTGACCAGAGATTGACACTGTGTGTCTTCCTCCATTGCTCTCCTTTCTTTCTTTCTTTCTTTCTTTCTTTCTTTCTTTCTTTCTTTCGGGTTTCTGTGTAGCTTTGGAGCCTGTCCTGGAACTCTTGTAGACCAGGCTGGCCTCAAACTCACAGAGATCCGCCTGCCTCTGCCTACCAAGTGCTGGGATTAAAGGCGTGTGCCACCACTGCCTGGCTCTCCACTTTATTTTTGAGACAAGGTCTCTCATTGGATCACTGGAGCCCAGTGACTGACTAGATTGGTGGGCCTGTGAGCTCCATCTATCTGTGTTTGTGCTGCCTTTCCTGACCCCCAGTGCTGGGGTTACAGATGTATGCTGCAGAAACTGCCCTTTGATGTGAGTGCTGGGGGATCCGAACTCAGGTCCTCAAGCTTATACAGCCAGCACTTTACTGACTGAATCATGTCTCCAGCCTTTAGTGAGGTTACACTGAAAAGCTTCTAAAAATCTTATGGGCTTAGTCCTGGAGAAGCCTGATCTCCAAATAGGTGTTTAAATAGGTAGATTTATAGAGAGGTCTGGTAAAACACAACTAAAGACAAGGCTTTTGTTTAGTTGCAAAAGCCATAATCTGGCACATTTGGCATCCCCAGGGATTTTGAGGGACTTGTATTAACAAAAAGACCATTAAATATGAACTGATGTTATTCCAAGTACAAATATGATTGATAATTGCCCATCTTTCTAAAGATGAAAAGGTGAACTATATGAGAAAGGGAAGATGCTGCTGGCAGTAGAGCCAAGAGACTAGAGGTGGAGATCCCAGGGAATGGTGGGTTAGGGAGACACACCAGGAGGCAGTACAAAATAATGGCGGGTCCTTCCTCAAGCTGAACATTCCTAACCAGGGAAGATTCTCTGTCCCCATGTGGGCCATATTGCTTCTCAGGATTAAATTTTAAAAATTATTTTGTGTGTATGGGTGTTTTGCCTGTACATATGAGTATGCACTGTGTGTGTCTGGTGCCTGCAGAGTGCAGAAGAAGCCATGAGATCCCCTGGGATTAGAGTTACAGACAGTTGTGAGCTGCCCTGTGGGTGCTGGGAAATGAATCTGGGTCCCCCAGAAGACCAGTCGGTGCTTTCAACCACCGATTCATCTCTCTAGACTTCTCCATAGGATCTTAGAATTTGACGGTGCAGTGACTGTTCTGAGCCTCCTATAAGGTCCTTCTCTATTGAATGGGAAAGTATACTTGAGTTATCTGGTTCTTGTCTCACTAGACTCTGTTGGGTATGTTAATAGAAATTGTTTTTTATTATTATTGCCATTTGTTAAAGACAGAGTCTCATATAGTTCAGGTTGCCCTCAAACTTGCTAAGTAGCCAAGGATGGCATTGAACTTCTGATTCTCCTGCCTCTACCTCCCACCTTCTGGGGTTATAGGCCTTGCACTACCATGCCTGGTTCATGCAGTGCTGGAGAACAAATCCAGGGCTTCTGGCGTGCCAACCAAACTCTCAGCCTGCATTCTCAGTCTCAAGGTTACTTTTAGTTTCTAGCTTACTGTGCCAAGAAGAATCATATTCCAAAACTGGACCCTGGACTTCAAGCATGGCAATGGAATTGGATGCTTGGGACTCCTGGGCTGGGGATAAACATGGTTTGCTTTTTTTTTTTTTAAAAAAAAAAAAAAAGATTTATTTATTATGTATACAATGTTCTGCCTGTACACCAGAAGAGGGCGCCATGTGGTTGCTGGAAATTGAACTCAGGACCTCTGGAAGAACAGTCAGTGCTCTCCAGACCTGCCTTTTTTTTTTTTTTTTTTTTTTTTTTTTAGAAGTGTTAGTTCTCCTATTCATGCCTCTTGGATGACTTTGTAGTTTTTTCTCCCCAGAGCCAGAGCTTTTCCTCTGCTCCCAGGCTCTGAGTTTGGCCACCTGAGTGGCTTTGGCCATAGGACATCAGCAAGCAGGGCACAAGCCAGGACTAGAGTGCTTGCCTGTGAGGAATTACATGTCTTGCTGTGCTGGGAATCCAGCCACCTTGGGAAGAAACTCAAGCTGACATACTGGAGGATGAGAAAAGTCAGCAGAGATTGACTAACCCACTAAGAGCCCTGGACACCAGCCTTCCTGAAGCCTGTTAGCAGCTGGGTGCAGATTAAAGAGTGAGGCTATGTGAGATGAACCGAGGAGCAAATCATGTATTACCTACACATGGATGACACGCAGAATCCAGAACCAAGTCAATCAGTGGTTCTCAACCTAGTGCTTGACCCTTTAATACAGTTCCTCGTGTTGTGGGGACCCCCAACCATGAAATTATTTTGTTGCTACTTTATAACTGTAATTTTGCTACCATTATTAATTGTAATGTAAATATCTAATATGTGACCCCCACAGGTTGAGAGCTGCCGAAGTAAATGCTTGCTATTTTAAGGTACTTGGTTTCGGTGTAGTTTGTTACGCAGCAGAACTTGCCTGATACACCCTTTCAGTCCTTCTTTTCTCAAACTTAACCTCCTCTTGCTAAACCTCCCCAGAGTGACTCTGATTCATGGAATAAAGCCCAACACTTACCTCAAAATGGGCCCAGCAGACAGCCTGGCACCCAAAATGTGAGACCACACAGGTGATGATGAATTCCAGGAGGACGAAGGGGAAGAGAGCTCCAGAGATCGCGTTCAAACAACTCTAGGGGCAGAGAGGAAATGGGGACTTTTCAGTCATCAGGGTTGACTGGATGATAGTCTGTATTTGTAGCTCTCCTAAAGCAAATGTCCCTTGCCTCGTCTGGAAAACTGGAGACCCCTCTGTGTGTGGTTTCCTGGACATAGACGTGACCTTTATGTGCCTTCACCATATCCATCCCGTACACCTCAGCTTCCTCCTGTCAGCCACTGCATTTTTTTTATTGTGGACTTTTGTGGCCTTAGGAGCCCACTCTGTTTATACCTCAAGCCTGAAGCTCAAACAACCCCCTGGAGAGCAGTCTTCCATTGGTGGCTGATAGGGTTGGTATGTAAGCACCCCAGATTCCTTGCCCTGAGGTCATGTTTACTTCCTCTCTCTACACAAACTACTTGCTTTAAAGTTTGTTTCTGAGATGATGAACCCTAACAAATGCCCTGACTGTGAACCGGTATGAGGGGCTGGGGTCCTTACTGTGAATTGGTGATGTACCAGTGAGGTCGGGACCTTTTGGCTTCTGGCTGTCTTAGCTCCATCTCCGTGGTCTGAATCAGAGCTTTGAGAGCAGGACTGAGCTCAGGGTGCTTCCTGTCATTTCCCTACCCATAGTGCATTGTGGAGGCAGGGTTCTAGGAGTACTTCTCCTCCTTAGTCTTCCCCTTCAGCAGAAGATGGGATCCCAGGGTTTGGTTTCAGGCCTCTTGGAATCCTAAATTTCTGTTCTACATGACCCCAGTCTACCTCTTTGTCAGTCCATCCTGTGGACTAGGGCTGAACTCCAGATGCTAACAACCTTGCATGGTTTCCTGCCATGTCCTGTCATTGGACTAGGCTTCTTCTGGAGCCTACAGGGAAGCTCTCCTTTTGAGGACTGCCCTCACACCTGTAGATGGGTCTCTTGCTCGGCCACGTTTCTGTGGTCAGCTTGATTAGTCCTGAAGGAGGACCAGGTTTCAGCTTGAGACAAGCAACCACATCTCCACTCCCAAGACATTTTGTCTCTTAATCTCAGAGTCCTCACTGTGGTGTGAAGAACATTATGATTGCCATAGCAGTTGCAGGATTTTGGAGGAAGTTCTGCAACTTATGGATCATATTAGGATGGAATTCTGTTGCATTTCCTTCCTGTTCAAGGAGCAACCACGTAAGCCCTCCTGATCCCGAAGAAACATTGGGTTCAGTCAGCTGTAATGCTCACCATCAGTGAACCATTTTGCGAGCTGGAAAAACGCAGATCCAAAATGATAATGATGATACCAAGAAGGGAAAAGATGGAGCTGACGACATTCATGCCGATGCTGGCGTTCACCTGAAGGACATTAAGGGAGGGGAATGGTGAGCAAAGGTTTTCAAGGCTCAGCATTTGGGAAGACTTAGGATGCAGGACAAAATGGGAGCAGGGCAGAAAGGAGAGGACCAGGCTGGTTGGGACAGAAGTCTGTTCATTTACCCCAGAATAGTGAGATAATGATTGTTTATGCCGTGACTCTTTAGGGCAGGAACTACCCACTGGGGGCATCTCACCACCTGGCTAAGCAACTGAGGCAGGCAATGAGATTGGAAAGCTGTTTGGAGGCAAGGGGAGGTTGCTGGCCTGCTCTGCAGAAGAAAGAAGCAAGGACACCAAACCTGCCTTGAGAAGAGACAGTAGGAAGCTAAGGAGGCTGAGGGTGAGCCTGGGGCTGGAGCCAGGCTTGGCATGCTTGGCTGGGAAAGATTTTCTGATGTGAGGGCTCTAGCCACTGTGTTGAGATGTTAACTGTTTGCTGTCTGTCTCTACTCAGGCGGCTTCCTTGAGTGGGGTTCTCAACATGTCACATCTGGGCTGAGTCTGGGGCAGCTGCCAGTTGTAGAAAGTGAAGCAGAGATTTCAGTTAGGAGTTAGTCATTTGATGGAGCCCGGAGAGGCCCCGGGAATGCCACGCCCCTTGCTTGGCAAGGGCATTGTTTCCCAGAGGATGTGGGCGGTGTTTGGTCAGCCCTGTTGGGACACTGAAGGACAATGTGAGATTACTTGATGTTGGGGAGTTGAGGGGTTGCTTCTTTTGAAGGCAAACCCAGGTAGTAGAAATTCGCATTGTAGATCAGGGATTAGGAATCGGGAAATGCTTTAGGGAATAACCCTGCCCTTCATTTCCCGTGTTCCTTAACAGACAGAAGCCATGTAGAGGAAGAAAGGGGAAGGAGGTCCTGGAACCAGCTCTACATTTATGCTGAGGCCTCTAACGGTTGCAGCATAGGTCAACAGACGACCGGGCTCTTCTCTGGCAGTTGAGATGAAGAACAGCACTTCAAAGGTTCAAGGGGACTGAGGGATCTATGCTTTATGGTTGGGGCTACAACTGTTGCAGACATACTGTTTAGGTCCAGTTAATGAAAAAGGTACCTTAGGGAGATGACTGCAATACATACCCGTCTCCAGCTGGCCCAGGTCTGGCTTTCTGTTTAATGCAGAACACCCCCAGGGCATTGTACAGAAAATTCTCATGACTTTTCTAAATTGCTAAATGCTTTTTGTTTGTTGTTTTGTTTTGGGATATGATGCATTATGTAGCAGTAGCAAATGCAATAGGTTTCAGCACAGCTTTAGAACTAGAGAATTCTGATCTCAAATCCCGGTTCTGTCACATATTCATTGTGTGATTTTAGGCAAAACCTGACCTTTCTCTTGATGGGGCAAAGGTTCCTCCATCTTGTCTCATGGAGCCATCTTTAATTTAACTTGAAACTACCCTCCTTCCTACCCCTACCTGATGGAGGAAGGTCATTGGCTAATAAAGGCACTGCCCTGGCCCATTTTATTGGTTAGAGGATAGGTGGGAGGAGTAAACAGAACAAAATGCTGGGAGGAAGAGGAAGTGAGGTCAGAGACTCCACAGCTCTGCAGATGATATGATAGTGTATATAAGTGACCCCAAAAACTCTACCAAAAAACTCCTACAGCTGATAAACACCTTTAGTAATGTGGCAGGATAGAAGATCAACTCCAAATAATCAGTTGCTTTCCTATACACAGCTCTACATTTATGCTGAGGCCTCTAACGGCTCCTGGCTCCTGGGCAGACGCACGCTATGAAGCTCCGACCCAGGATGGACATAGGCTAGAATCTTCCTGGTAAGCGCACCTTGGGGTGCCATACACAGATGATTAGAGATGGGCTAAATTAATATGTGAGAATTAGCCTAGAAGAGAATGCGCCAAGCAGTGCTTAAAAGAATACAGTGTCTGTGTAATTATTTTGGGGCATAAGCTAGCCGGGCAGGCGGCTGGGGTGTTGGGGACGCAGCCCCGCCACCGCCCTTATTACTTCACCTACCATGAAAAGTCCTGTGGAAAGCTCCAAGTCTTGTTCTAGAAACCCAGGGTTTTGGTGCTTGTAGAAGTCCAAGCTCCTCTGACACCCCCTCAAAAAGAGTTATATGATCTGTTGCCTCTGAAGGTAACCCTGGTTAAGGGACTTTCTATTTATGGCACAAAAGAAATGTTGGCCATGACTGCTGAGCCAGTGTCTGGGATCCACGTGAGACATCACCAGACTCCCTTTGTTTGTTCAGGGGTATGCATGCGTGGTGGCCATCTTGGCTGTCTTTGCTATGTGGCTCTTTGTGTGTCTATGTGTTTCTGTCAGTTCTGTTTCCCTGTTTTGGCCAGTGGCTTTCTCTGGCCCCTCCCTACACACTTAAGACCTGTACCCTTTTGTTGGGGATCTGAATCCTTTTGGCTCTGCCAGTTGCCCAGTGAAACCTCAAAGCTCCTTCCTGTTCCACTCCTAGAGCCTTCTCTTGCTTTGTTGTTTGACTCCTAGGACATGTGTGGTGGTGGGGTGGAGGTCTCTCATCTAGGGACCCCTGCCATCTAAGCAGAATGCACACATGGAGGGAGAAATAGTTCCCCAAGCTGTGAACGCCCTCCCCTCCCTCCCCTACCTGCTCTAAGCAGCCTTGGGGATGGGGGAAAATTCCCCAGGATTGTGCCTGGTAGGATAAGAAGTATTTCCTGAGTCTTGGTATGAGTACAGGGTCATGGACCAAATCCCATAACCCTCAGGCCCTGACCTGGGAGCATGGAGGAAGACGCGTGCAGGTGATAGCTAGAGTGACTACGGACCTGCACCCCATGTTCCATTTTGTCCATTGCTCACTGATGCCTGCTTCAGAGGTCTGACTGTGTTGGAGAAATGAGACAGGAGTACAGAGTTTACAGTTCTATGCATGCTCCGAAGCCAGGCTCCCTAGCTGCCGAGAACAAGGGAATTTCCATTGTAAAAACTGAGCTTGGAAAACAGACTAGATTAACAGTTGGGCCCTGCACTTTAAATTTCATGGCCAGTTATGTAAAATAAGGGATTAATTCAGTCAAGTAAATGGTCCTTAGGGCCTCTTTAAGACTCATGGGTCATGGCCGGGCGGTGGTGGCGCACGCCTTTAATCCCAGCACTCGGGAGGCAGAGGCAGGCGGATCTCTGTGAGTTCGAGACCAGCCTGGTCTACAAGAGCTAGTTCCAGGACAGGCTCCAAAACCACAGAGAAACCCTGTCTCGAAAAACTTAAAAAAAAAAAAATTAAAAAAAAAAAAAGACTCATGGGTCATTAAAGAAATGGCATTATGACTTACCATGCAACTGTTGGCACACTTTTCAGCGCAGACTGAGAGGGATCCAGAGATGATAAACTACATAAACATAAAAAAAATGTGTTTTTAAATTCCAAACATTGTGTTTCCCACGCATGTAAATCTGTGAGCTTCCTCTTGACAATATCACTGTCTCCAACCTACCAAATATTGTGGCGCTCGGATCCCTGCAGGTCATGTAGGATGCCCTAAGTCATTCCTTATCGCCACCGTCTGACTAGGTCTCCTCAAGAGCACAGTGGGCCATACCATGTCCAAACTCACTCACTGCTCACACTGTCCTGTCTTTGAATACGATCGCATCCTGGGAAATTAGGGGCAGGGTAGCATGGTGGTCATTGTACTGAGGCTGGGAGAGAGGATACTGGGGGTCCTGCTTTGTATCTGCTACTAATTCATCTTGCTGTGCCCCTGGACCAGCCTGAGAGTCCTAACAAGGCCCCCGTTTTCACACAGTTGATCTCTCTGAGTTATTGTTGAAGTCTTTTCCTTCTCACCTGTGAAAGTGGCCATTGCAGGAACCATAGCTCCTACTCACACCGCTTCATTCTGTACTACCAAGGACAGAACCCGGGGTCTTGGATGTGCTGGGCAAATATTTTACCACTAAGCCACCTCCCCCGCACTAGGTATCTTTCTTTAGGGATCACTGAGTGAAACATTTCTAAACGGTCAAGTGTGCTACCCTTGTGCAGTCAGAAGGGAGAGCTGAAATGCATGGTCGGAAATCTTTAAAGAAAGTAGGCTCCCCCTAGATCATTGAGTTTGGAGGACTGGGACCTAAAACTAAACTGAAACCCAAGAACTTGGCGGGGGGGAGCACAAAACCAGTGTGCTGTGACGAGGGAATGAACTAGAACCGCGTGTGCTTTCATGGTGTCTTCAATAGTGGATGATACGAGAGCCTCTATAGAAATTCCAGCACACCTGAAAGTCACTAGAATTAATAAGGAAGTACAGTTATTTCACCAGATAGAAGATCAATGTGCAGATGTCAACTGTTTAGAGGGGGTGGTGGTACTGAAGCAGGCCAATCTCTGTTAGTTCATGGGCCGCCTGGTTTATAGTGAATTCTGTGCTAGCCAGGGGCTGCTACCTGGTGAGACCCTATCGCTAAGAAAAAAGAAAAGTCAACTGTATAGTCATAAACCATCAGTGAGCCATTTGAGAATGTGCTTCAAAACATACTCATGCAAGCATTAGGGAATAATTTAAAATAGACAAAATTGACATACAAATAAAAATATCACATTTATTTGTGTGTGTGTGTGTGTCACGGCTCAGGAAGCTCAGAAAAATACAAGGTCTGAAAAGCTGAGCAAACTCTTTTTTTGGAGGGTGGGGTAGGAGTCTTTTTGTTTCCTTTTGGAAATTGTTTGTCTTACTGACTTTTTTGCTTGTTTGTCTTGATTTTCATTTTTAAAAATTTTTTGAGAGAGAGAGAGAGGGAAAGAGGGGGGACTAGAAAGAGAGGGAAAGAGAGGGAGAATGTGTGAGAGTACTGAGCGTTATAAAGTTGAGTTGGTAGGGAGGTGGGAAGGTCCTCGGAGGAGTTGGGGGAGGAGAAAACCATGATCAAATACATCATATAAAAAAATTTAAAAGTCACTTGCTGGGGAGGAAGAAACTCTTTAGTGGAGTGTCTACAAGTTTTGGAAGCAGATCAGGGAATGTAGTTTTTGGGAGTCATCACTCATGTGGGCATGAGCTTTTCAGTGGCACAGCTGCCTGGATAAGTCAGAAAAATATCCCAAGATCCCCATTAGCCTGCCCTTTGATAAGCCCAGAAGCTTAACCCATCTCAGCAGGCACGATCTCAGTCTTCACCCAGTTTCTGCCTCTTGAGAGCCCCTAGACCAGCAGCTCCCCGGGCTTTTCCTGGTGTTGGAAATACCTCTCACTTTTCCTGGCAACCCAGGCTTGAAGGCTCTGCCTCTTTCTGTTTTTTAAAATCTTTCTATACTAAAACTCCTCTTAAACTCAGCCTTTATTGCCTGTAAGGTTTATATAAGTTTTCTAGGTAAGGAGTCACTGACCCAGTGGAAGTTTTGTGTGACCCTGACTGACCTGCACCCTAAATCCCAAGTTGACCTGTCCTTCTGAAGGGTTCTCCTCTTCCCCTGACTTTCACTTACACAGGGCTGTGCTTGCAAATGCCTGCCCCCTGCCCGTGAGATCTTTCCACAGCAGGGGAAGGCCTTGACCCTGGCTGCTTATCTGCAATAGTCAGTTTCCTATCACTGAATGGTTGGACAACTTGCTTAATTAATTCTTGAAAAATTTGCAGTTGCTCTTATGAATGGGAGGCAGATGCTGTGTGAAGCACGAACCTCTCTGGACTCCGACTTACATATATTAGGGATTAAGACGAGGATACGAGGGGTTAAAATTGCTCTAAGTGTTCAGTGCTGGAGGAAGAGAAGGCTGAAGCTTGGTGGCAGCCAGAGGAAGAGCTTGCCTCTGCCAACTTGTCAGGTGACTTTTCAGGGCAGTCTGGAGCTGAGGCAATGATGGGTCAGTGATGAATAGGACCACACCTTGGCCATAACTGCTTAGTCATGTGTACCCCTTATCCTCTACAGAAACCTTAAGAGTGAAACTGGGGGAGGTGTCACTGGGCCTCTTTCTTTCTCTTCTCACTGTGGTTACAGCGAATAAACCACCTTTCTTTTCTTTTTTGCTTTGACCTGTCTCTTCAGTTGGCCTGTTACAGGTGGTGAGTGGAGCCTGGCTTGTTAGTGCTGCATAGCTCAGGCTCTAATCCTAAAAACTCTGATAATAATATGGTACTAAATGTTTGCAGCCCAAACCTCCTTAGAGGCGGGAGGTGGTATTGCCAGGGTGTAGGCGGGCTCTTCAGCCTCAGCAGCGCCTGCAGACTTCGAAGCTGTAAGGGTTATATGACTGGGTGTAGGGTCCAAGGGTCCCCTCTGATGACCTAGAAAGGAGACCACATGGCCTTGTACTCACAGACAGTCCTCCCCAGACCAGGTACCCTGAGAGCCCCAGCACAGTACGGGTCCCGTATAGTTGAGGGTTGGCTGCAGAGGCAATATGAAACAGGCCAATGAGGATCTGGATGGCCTGTGGGGAGAACAGAGAGCAGACCGGTGAGAGTGGAACCCGACTGTGGGCTGCTGGCCTGGGCTTTAGCACCTTGCCTGTACCCCAGAGCCACTCGAGGTATTGGGGTTCATCTAGACCAACATCTAGACTAGACCACTGTCTCTGGTTTGGGGGGCCTGTTCCAGGTATGTTTTAAAGCTCCCCAGGTGGTACCAGTGGGTACCCTGGGCAATAAAAAGGGTAAGATGGTTCAGAGCAGTTTTCTTTGGAACTTGGATTTCCAAATATCTTCAGATAGTCGGTCACCAGAGCTAACACACATTTCACCAGTATTAATTGGGTAAAAATCACAAAATAATTATAATGCCCACGTAACATCGCCACATCACCTTCCTACATGCAATCCAAGTCTCCGCAGGCCCTTGGGATCAGCATTTGGATTCCTGAGACAGTTTTGCAGACTTTGGTCTAAAAGGTGTCTCTGATAAATTGGGGATACAAACAATGCTCTCTGTTCTTGACCCAACCTACTTATTTATTTCTACAGAGAGACAAGAAAGGAGGGTTTAGGTATGTATTAGCCCATTTACTGTTGGTGAAATAAAATACCAAATGCTGGGTAATTTGGGGAAAAAAGTCTATTTAGCTCACGGTTTTGGGACTGTCAGTTTAAGTTGCATAAGGCAGGCTCTGGTGAGGGCTTCCCTGGCTGTGTCACTGCGTGGTAAATAGTACCATGGTGAGAGTATTTGCAAGAGGGAGAGATTAAATAGTGAGACTGAAAGCCAGTCTTGCTCCCATGAGAACTATTAAGATTCTACAAAGACTAGCCCAGTGACCTATACCTCTCACTAGGCCCTACCCCCCAGGGTCTCTCTGGCTCTCAGCATCACCATACAAAGCTTCTGACATATTTGAAGCCTTGTAGGGCATAGACTAGCCAGATCCCCATTAGAGCAGGGTTTTGTTTGAGTCTGTCTCCTCCTGAACCTGCTCTTGTCCTCTTGCCTCTAGGAGGGTTGTGACTTCTCAAAGGAATCTGGGCCATCTGTACTCTTTGAGCCCCAAAACTGTGTATGTGTCTTCATGGAGATTGCTGGAAGGTACAGTTACAATAACTACCATGAAATAAATCCCCCCTTGGTGTTTGAGGTCCATGCCTTGGTCATCTCTGCATCTGTCTCCATGCTGAGTGAGCAAGTGCATTGAGAGAGAGGACTTGCTAGAAGCCAGCTGTCCTGTGAATCAGTCATCTTACTAGGAGTTGGCTGGCTTCTAGTGGCATAGGACTGATCTTGTTTCTGCCTCAAAAAGTAGAACGAAGCTGAACTTTTCAAAGTGTCAAATGAAACTAGAGGATGCAGGAAGGAGGCAGGATACCCTTAGTGGAGGGGGAAATCGGCCACCTCAGAGCTTGTAAGATATAGAGGAGCTTACTAGATCTTCTGATAGAAAAACAGCAGCCGAGGCTCTCAGAGGCCTGTGCCACTTGCCTGGGTCAATGGTCTTTTTAGTGAAACTGCTATTGAGCCTGGCCCCTGATCACTAGGAAACGGACCGCTCCCTTTATAGCCTCTCTAAGAGCCTATGGAGTGAAATGGGAGCAGAGGGATACAGGGTGGGACTGCCATTTGTGGGGTTGTCCCAGACCTAGCCTTTAGAACCTGCTACCCTCCTTTGCCCTCTGAACCCAGAGGCACCAGAAATAGGCTTACAAAGCTGGAGGGATGACGTCATACTCACCCCTAATGTTCTGACTTCTTCGTTAATGAATTTCTTGGGATTAAATTCAGGAAAGGACATAAAGGACGTGTTCCACTGGGGATAGCTTGAGGTCTGTGTTGGCCCCGGGACAGTGTTCAGGGGATTCTGAGGGTCTTCAGGCAGGACCTGGGCACTTGTTATTTCTGGTGAGTACTGGATCACTCCTGGTGGAGCCTGCACACCAGCCATTCCCATTGGATACTGGGGCACAGCGGGCTGGGCCTGCAGGCCTGTCATTCCTGCTGGGCTCTGGATCACAATGAGTGGGTTCTGTAAGTTTGCACTCCCTGTATTGTGCTGGAGCATGGTTGCTGGTGCCGGATAAGCGGTCATTTCCAAAGGCTTCTCCTGGCTTCCAGAGGCCACAGCATAGGTAGGCTGGACGGCATGGGCATTACTTGGGACAGTGACAGCAGACACACTCTGCTGTTTGTTCATGATGTAGAGATGCTACAAAACACACAAGATGCAATTTTCACTGACAAATCAACAATCCATCTTATCCCTCCCTGTGGCTATCATTGTCTTCACTAAAATGCAAGCCTACTGCACAAGACACATGTCTTTGGTTTCTGGAAGTTCATATTCTGGGGATACAATATTCACGTGATCTAGCCCTACTTGAAAATCTAGGTCTCTTAAAAATTATTTAGTTTATTTTTTTATGTATATGGGTTTTGCCTTCATGTATGTCTGTGCACCATGCGTGTCCCTGGAGCCTAAAGAAGCTGGAAGAGGGAACCAGAGTTCCTGCAACAGGGGTTACAGATGGTTGTGGGCTGCCATGCAGGTGCTGAGAACAGAACGACGTGGGCACTTTGTTACCCTCCTTTCATCTGTATCCCAGCTGCTGTTTCTGGCTACTGGTTGGGGCGGCCTGCCCCTTATAGCTCATGGTTTCCATCTCCAGCATTTGAGGCTGCTGGAGGAGAACAATGTGACCGTGGTCCTGACTTGACCTCTGATAAGGTAGACCTGGTGGATGTCTTGATTTTTCTGCGCTGGTGAGAAAGGATGTGTGGCAGGAAGCAGGCAGCCTCATTAGCACAACGAAGAGGTAGAAATAGTTCCCATTCAGATGAGGAACAACTCACCCGTCAACATTCACTTCTGTTTAATCTTATTGCACATAAACTGTACACTCCTTGCTGGCAGGATGCCACATGCTGCGGCACAAAATCCTGTTCTAGCCATATGCAAGCGGGAAGCTTCCTGGCCTCTCTAGATGACAAACTCAAGGTGCTCCACAGTGCTAGCAGGACCAGAGCGAGGAAAATGCCCCTAAGCGGCTCTACTCTAGTGCTGGCTGATGGACCTGCCCTCTCTACTACAGATGGTAAACCCCCAGACAAGGCAGCATCAGGGTCCAGAGGTTAGACAGCTCTGAGTCTGTTTCTCAGTTTCTGCTTTTATGACCTGGAGGTGCAAGAACGTTAGCTCCGTGGCCTGTCTGAGAAAGGTGGATATGGACAGCACTTTCCTTGGCGATTTCACTTCCAGCACAGGCGAGCACTCTCAGCTCGCCCATTGTTGAAGGGCGGCAGCCATCCATAACAGAAAGGCTCTCCTCTGAACCCTGCAGCCCCTAGACTCCAAGCTATTTCATCTCCAATACTAAGCCAAATGGATCTTCAAGTGTGGTCTTTAGGTCAGCAGTGCGAGTATCACTTGGTAAAATCTCAGCCAACCGTCCAGATGCTCTCTGTCTTCTACTGTGCCTCCTGGGTGACGCTGATGCTGGAAAAGTTTGTGACCCCCCAGTAGCACAGAAAGACTCCCTTTTTGGCAGAGTGCTCACCAAACATGCATGAAATCCTGGGTTCTACCCCCTGCACCAAAGAAACTGGGTGTGGTAGAACATGCTTAGGGTCCCAACACTTGGGAGGGGAAAACAGGAGATTTAGAAGTTCAAGGTCATCCTCTGCCATATAGTGATATTGAGGCCAGTCTGGGATACACGAGACCCTGTCTTGAGGCTAATCCAAGAAGACAACAGCAGCAACAACAAAACGCCTGCCAAGTAGGGTCTGTGCAGGCCTATGATACTAGCTCCTCAGGAGTCTGAGGCAGGAGGATTGCAAATCCAAGGCTTACTTGTTTATAGAGTAATTGCAAGACAATTTGGTCCACTTAATGAAACTCTGTCTCAAGATTAAAATTACATAAAAGTAAAAAGGTCTGGAAATGAAACTTGGTGACAGAACTGCTCAGTGCATAGGAGGCCCTGGATTCAACTCTTAGCACCCAATAAAAAAGTGAACAAGAGAAAGACCTGACAGCCAAGGAAGTCCCCGTGATGTCTCCCTCATCTCCACATCACCCATCTCTCCAGTAAGTCCCACGGGGACCAAGGGTTTTGAGTGGAGAAGACTAATTGCATAGCTCACTGGGTGGGGGGGGGACTTAGAATCTAGGCTTATTTCTGTAACACTGTTTTAACTTTTATAGAGGGGCACTGTGCCCATTGGGTGTTCAGCTGTGGGAACATACCATGTCAAGCATCACGTGCCATGTCTCCTTAAACTCTGAGCTTTCTCTCAGGAACCCCAAGTTTTCCAGGGAGGTGGCAGATAGCAGCAGCTATAGCAACTGCAAATGATTACTGATTATGTCTCATAGCCTTAGAGATAGGAAGCCGTTCCTCCAGCCATGTGCTGTTCCTATGGATATTTTGTAGAAGAACTGAGGGTCAGAGAGGTTAGCTAACCTGAACAGTCATGCAGAAAATGCTGAGGCTGAGGTTTGTTTTTGAGACAGGGTCTCATGTGCCCAGATTTTCCTGGAACTTGGTATGTAGCTAAGGATCCTCCTGCCTCCACTTCCCAAGTGCTGGGTCATGCACTACCATGCCCAGTTTATGTGGAGCTGAGAGTGCTTGTGTCAAACCCAGGCCTTTGTGCATCCCTAGGCAAACATTCTGCTAATGGAGCTAGCTGTAGCCCCAACCTGGTTTGGATGGAACATCTGTCTGTCTCTCTTTCAAAATAAATGCTATGCTGAATGCTCCTCTCTGTCGCATGCCATGGGAAGACAGGTTAGCTCTATCTCCCCCCACTTCCCCACACTTTATTTTTTTCAGAGAAGGTTCCTTGTTGTTCAGTGTTTGAAGAACAATATTGTCATATGGTCACAGACATGGCAATTGATATAGACAGCTAAGTACTAGACTGTGCTCCAGGGGACCCGATAGGAAAACATGGGAACAAACAAGTTTTTTTTCCCCCTACCAGTTCTTGGCTGAGGTCCTAAACAAACCTGACCACGTTGCATTGAACAGATGGGCTCGGGGAGAGGTCAGTCAGAATGCCCCCTGTCCCAGCCCTCTCCCAACACATTCAGCCTTCTTTCCTGGGATTACTTTGCTCAGACAGAGCTGGAACAGCTCCAGGGACCTGTCCTGACTCTTCAGCAGCCTGCCAGGTGCCGAAGCCATAGTCTCCAAGGTTGGGTTGTTGTAAGGTCTCACCATGCTTCAGTGCACTGTCTCCAGGGGACCCCTGACACCTGAAGCTCCTAAAGGATTTTTCCAGAGCTTACCCAGGTCTTTGGTCCCTCTTGGTAGGGTTCAAGTTCCGACAAGACCCTGTGAAGGAATGCCCAAAAGTCTTACCTTAAGTCCTGGCAAGTCTGTCTTCTTTAGGCTCTGACACTTTCTGCAGCTGCTTTGGAAATTCAAAAGTGCAAGGGGAGAAATAGCAGGTTTCTCTTTCAAGCTCCAAAGTCCTCCTGGGAGTTTCACTGAAAGCCAATGAATATAATGTCAGGCTCCCACCTTGAGTTTATCTACCCCTCAGAGTATTTATGGCCTCTCTAGAATAGGATTCTGGGGGAGTGTTCCTGCCAAAGTCTGCCTTTGAGGCAGATGTCACATGCAGAATGTCAGAATGTGATTGCACTTGGAGTTAGGGACCTTATAAAAAGGAATTAGGTTAAAATGAAGTTATCAGGGTGGGACCTAAACCAGCACCAATGGTGTCCTTATAAAAAGCAGACCTATGCCATGCCAGCAACCATGGGTCCAAGGCATGGTGTGTGTGTGTGTGTGTGTGTGTGTGTGTGTGTGAAGTATTCACTACACCAGAGCTGATATAAATGTTTTAATAAAGAATATACACAGTGGATAAAAACATAGAGGGAGAGGTAGGGAAGGAGAGGAAGGTGAGAAAGGGAAAGGGGAGGGGGAAAGAGAAGGTGGGAAAGGTGAGAGGGAAGGAGATGGGGAGGAGGAAGAGAGAGAACAAATTGTACCCTTAGTGAGGAATGGCCCCTTTTTATGACAGCTTAGAGAAGTTGTCTGGCCTTGGGCTGTGTGTGGTGACATGGGAAGAGGCTGTGGGCTGACAACACTGTCTTGTTGGGTAGTTGGAGAATACCACTCATCCTTCCCAAGACCACCCGTTTGGGCTGAGACACCAGGGCTTGTCAGGAGTTGGGCTGAACTGTTTTAAGACATCCCAAGCCCGAGCAGGCTCCAGGCATGTTGGGGAAAAGTAGGGTGAGGATACGGGCCAAAGAATCCCAAGCTAATTCCAAAAGATTCCAATTATATTTCTTTATTATAAGGGGCAAACTCACGGAACAGGAATGAGAAGTCCAACCTCAGGTGTGTAACACAGGAACCAGAGAAAGAGAGAGAGAGCGAGCGAGCACATGAGCCCTGGGCAGGCCTGCGGTTTTCTTTGTGTACCCAAATGTTCACACTCTAACCTGGTCCAGCCTCTTAAAGGTCATTGGCTGACGGAGGTTCCCCATTATCTCCCCCTTTTGTCTAAATAAGAGAGTTCCAAACCCAATACAAAACTATATACACTAGGAACAGATATCAAGTATAAAATTAGGATTACAACCAGCATAAACAATATTAAACAAGGAACATATGCTAAATGTTTTAATAAACGTTCTATCCTAAGGAGTCTAAGTCTTGCATCAGAAATGGCTTGGCTAAATCATAAGAGGAAGCTAACTACAACTATCTAATCTTCAGCCCCATCAAAGGCCTGAGAAGGGAGATAATATTACTTGAGTAGGCAGGAAGTGCAATCAAGCAGCTTCCAAAATGTGCAATATATGACAGAGATAATTGGCTACCTGAGCAATCACCCAAAGTCTCATTTGCAATGTTGAAGCACCAACTTTGGCTAAGGCCTAGAGTAACTGACAGACCATTTTTAGAGGCAGGAAAAATTTGAGAACCATATTACCCTGTCTTGGCAAGGTTTGACAGTCTTTTTTCCTGTGCCCTGCTTATCCAGTCTGGACACCATGTACTTTGTCAGTGGTCAAGGCATGGGCAGTTCTTTGCCCAAGGCCAATTGAGCCAAGAAGGAAACAAACTCCAAGTGGAGTGTCTTTGGTGCTTACCATTCTCTTGGGAATAGATTGGTGCTGTCAGGAGCACTCATGCCTCACATCAATAGAACCCTAAGTTATTTAAATGTCATGTTCTACAGATTCTTGAAGTGGCTGACGATTACCTATCTATGTAGAATACAATCTCTATGTATCTAAAGAATCTAATTAATGGCTGAGGACAACCTTTCAGACCGGTGAGTGGGTGCCATCCCAGGGCGGGGCAGAACATCCAGGAAGGGAGCACTGGACCCCTTCAACTCCTGCTGCAGGGGCTTCTTTGTTCCACACATCCCTGCCCCCCACCCCAAACCTGCCCTATTGGCTGCGAGGCCCTTGGCCCAAGAACAGTGCCTACTCCTGCACTGAGGCTATTCACCCAAAGGGGAACAGTTCCTGCTCCTGCACTGAGGAGATCCACCCAGACTCAGTCACAGCATAGATTGGACCAAGACACCAAAACTGTCCTGGCTGCATTTGAAGGAAGAGATGGGCAGGTGTCAATGCAAGAATTCCTCCAACAACCTGAAAGGCAACATGACAACACCAGATTCCAGGGATCACACAAAAAGAAGACTTGAACACCCTATTCTAGAAGATGTAGAAGAAATTGAATTTAAACGTAATATTATGAAAATGATAGAGAACCTTAAACAGGATGTGAAAAACTGCTGTAAAGAAGTGGAGAAGACAAACAAAAAAGTAGAAAAAACGAATAAATCTCTCAAAGATACCCAAGAAAACCATGATAAAGCAATCAAACAGGTAATGGAAACAGTTCAAGACTTGAAAAATGAAATAGAGGTAATGAAGAAAACACAAACCGAGGGAAGACTGGATATGGAAAATCTGGGTAATTGATCAGGAACTGCAGAGACAAGCATAACCAACAGAATACAAGAGATAGAAGAAAAAAATCTCAGACACCGAAGATACTATAGAGGAAATAAACACATTGATTAAAGAAAATAACAAATCTAACAAATTCTTAACACAAAACATCCAGGAAATCTGGGACACCGTAAAAAGACCAAACCTAAGAATAATAGGGATAGAAGAAGGAGAAGAATTACAGCTCAAAGGCCCAGAAAATATATCCAACAAAATTATGGAAGAAAACTTTCCTAACCTAAAGAAGGATATTCCTATGAAAGTACAAGACGCATACAGAACACCAAATAGACTAGATCAAAAAAAACATCCCCTCGCCATATAATAATCAAAACATACAGAATAAAGAGCGAATATTAAGAGCTGCAAGGGAAAAAGGTCAAGTAAATGTAAAGGGAAACCAATCAGAATTACACCTGACTTCTCAATGGAAACCACGAAAGCCAGAAGGTCTTGGATAGATGTGCTGCAGACACTAAGAGAACACGGATGTAAGCCCAGACTACTATATCCAGCAAAGCTCGCATTCACCATTGATGGAGAAAACAAGATATTCCAGGACAAAAACAGATTTAAACAATTCTTAGCCACAAACCCAGCCTTACAGAAAATACTAGAAGGAAAACCACAAACCAAGGAAACCAATAACACCCATAATAACACAAGCATCTAACAACCCTCCACCAGCACAACTCAAAGAAGGGAAACACACAGACAATATCACCAGGAAAAATAATCGGAGTTAGCAATCACTGGTCATTAATATCACTTAATATCAATGGATTCAATTCACCTATAAAAAGGCACAGGTTAAGAGAATGGATATGAAAACATTCTGCTGTTTACAAGAAACACACCTCAAACTCAAAGACAGACACTACCTCAGAGTAAAGGGTTGGGAAAAGGCTTTCCAATCAAATGGTTCAAAGAAACAAGCGGGTGTGGCTATACTAATATCTAACAAAATTGACTTCAAACTAAAATCAATCAGAGGGGTTGAAGAAGGACACTTTATTCTCATAACAGGAACAATTCATCAGGAGGAAGTCTCAATCCTGAATATCTATGCCCCTAATATAAAAGCACCCACATATGTAAAAGTAACATTACTAGAACTCAAAGTATGCATCAAACCCCACACTCTAATAGTAGGAGATTTCAACACTCCACTCTCACCAATGGACAGGTCAACCAGACAGAAAATTAACAGAGAAATAAGAGAACTAACAGATGTAATGAATCAAATGGACTTAGCCGACATATATAGAACATTCCACCCAAATAGGAAAGAACATACCTTCTTCTCAGCATCTTATGGAACCTTCTCACAAATTGATCACATAATTAGTAACAAAGCAAACATCCATAGATACAAAGAAATTGTAGTAACCACCTATGTACTATCGGATCACCATAGAATAAAGTTAGAATTCAACAACAATTCTACCCCCAGAGAGCCTACAAACTCATGGAAACTGAATAGTCAACTACTGAACCACTCCTGGATCAAGGAAGAAATAAAGAAAGAAATTAAAGTCTTCTTTGAATTTAATGAAAATAAAGACACAACATACTCAAACCTATGGAACACTATGAAAGCAGTGCTAAGAGGAAAGTTCATAGCACTAAGTGTCCTCATAAAGAAAACGGAGAAAGCACACATTAGAGACTTAACAGCACAGCTGAAAGCTCTAGAAAAAAAAGAAGCAGACTCACCTAGGAGGAGTAGAAGACAGGAAATAATCAAACTGAGGGCTGAAATCAACAAAATAGAAACAAAGAAAACAGCCCAAAGAATCAATGAAACAAAAAGCTAGTTCTTGGAGAAAATCAACAAGTTTAACAAACCCCTATCCAAACTAATCAAATGGCAAAGAGAGAACATGCAAATCAATAAGATCAGAAATGAAAAGGGGGACATAACTACAGACACAGGACATTCAGAGAATCATTAGATCTTACTACAAAAGCCTGTATGCCACAAAATTGGAAGATGTAAAAGAAATGGACACTTTTTTAGATAAGTACCATATATCAAAGCTAAATCAAGACCAGGTGAACAATTTAAATAGACCTGTAAGTCATGAAGAATTAGAAGCTGTTATCAAAAACCTCCCTAAAGTCCAGGACCAGATGGTTTCAATGCGGAATTCTACCAGAACTTCCAAGAAGAGTTAATACCTATACTCCTTAATGTATTTCACAAAAATAGAAACAGAAGAGTCATTGCCAAACTCCTTTTATGAAGCTACAGTTATCCTGATATCAAAACCATACAAAGACTCACCAAGAAAGAGAATTACAGGCCAATCTCACTCATGAACATCGATGCAAAAATTCTCAATAAAATACTGGCAAACTGAATCCAAGAACACATCAAAAAAATTACACATTATGATCAAGTAGGCTTCATCCCAGAGATGCAGGGCTGGTTCAACATATGCAAATCTATCAATATAATCCATCATATAAATAAACTGAAAGAAAAAAAC